ACAAAGCTAAAGGAAATCTAGTCTGAAATTGCTTTTCCTGGTTTAGATCTTAGTCACTTAGCATTTTTAAGCAGCTGTCACAGGTAAATCACACTCTTCTCCCACCACCCAACAGAAAATATTAGGTAGCTCTGAGACAGCCATCTAGGTGCCAACAATGGGAAGACTTGTGCTTCACGAGCACAGTGTTACTTTGCCAAGTGCTTAGGCACACACAGCCACAACAGGAAGTATTCGATTATCTTCTAGGGCAAGACAAAAACACCCTAAATCAGATCCTGCATGATGACTACTCACTAACCAGCCTTGCTCTGGAAGGCAATCTCCACAGAACACTAATTTTCCAATGAGGTAATCATGCCCTCGTTTAAAACAACTATAAGCACTTAGCAGAAAGCATTCAATATATACTGGGTATGTGAAAACTAGTTACATTTATTTAACATTCTAGATTACACTGAAGAAAGCTGTCAGATCACATTACCCCAGTACCAACAGATTGACCAGCACACACAAAGTACATCCCAGTTCATACATCCTAGTCGGTGCATGGGAAAACAGGTAACCAATAATTTAGCAAGAAGCATCAACAAACACGCAACACATCTGCAACTGTGAGTACAACATGCAGAACACTTAAATAATCTCTAATTGCTGTCTACCCTCGGGGGCAGTATTCTCTTGTTTATAAATAAAATAGTACACAGCATAACAGGAACCGCTTTCTTCTAGCGGCCCCCAAGCTATCCAGATTTATGGGTGACTGCCAGTTCAAACCTTCACGTTGATCACCATGCAGCCTGAGAAAAATTCTGAGAAGCTTTACATAGTGATAATCTTCAGTTCACTATGTGACCGCAGAGCGATCTGAAACCTGACTGTACATCTAGTATCTCCCTCTTGGGATTACTGCCTCTAGATGTTAAGCTTTTAGTTAGCTGTTCGGGACTTGTTTGCTTTTAAAAGAGTTCATCCGCTTGGGTTAACTACGCTCTCTCTTTCAGAAAGCAACAGCCATACCCACCTGCTGACTGAAATGATGGTTTGGGTCAGACTTTAGACAAAACTATAAAACCACACACACAAACCCCCTGCTCTACTCAAGCGGCTGCTGGTTTTGGGGGGATTTTTTTGGTTTGTTCCCCGCGCCACCCCCGCGCTGATCTGCACCTAGCAAACCGCCGTCTCCCTCAGAGGTGAGCGGCGCGGGATGGCTCCGCGGGCGCGCCTTTAGCGGCGCCGTTCCGCTGCGAGCCCCGGGCTCGGCGGGGAGCGGATCTTAAACGTTAGCTGAAACGGCAGCACGGCCTCCC